TACCTCATGTTGAGACCGCTGCTTCATCTACACACACCACGCAGAACACGAGGACATCAGTACAAGCTTGTTGTATCGGATTTGAAGCGGGTCGCTCACCAACTCTGTTTCGAACGCAGAGTGGTGAATGTATGGAGCGACCAGCTGCAGCACGTAGTTGAGGCAAAGTCGGTGTCGGAATTTAAGAAGTTCCTTGACGAACACTTTGCCGACGCAAAGTATATTGAGCGGAACACAACATAACGGGTCTTTGTCTCTGAGTGACATTAGATGCAGCTACACAGAGAAACCTCTACTTGCTGCTTTCAACCAGTAAACCAGTAAATGGATAACACGATTTCATACGGGACTCATACATGGTTGGCGGCATCCGGTTCCGAATCTGCCGGTCGCTGCAGCTTCCAAAGAACAGCCATAGGACGCCTACGCCTAAAGATGGACCATGGCTGGCTTGCGCTGTATCACCCACAGCTCCATCCACACACAGCATATCCAGTGTAAGACGAAGGAATCAGACGAGAGACATGTGGATGGAAGCCACGTTCCATAAACATAGCCGGACCACACTCCTTCAACAGGCACAGCAGCAGCATTCCTGTTTATCTATGGGCAGAATCATGCATATCAGACGTACACAAGGAGATGGATGAGCAGTAGCCCCTTCTACACAGAACGGAACCACTTTTTGAGCCTAGTACCGTTACCAGGACGGTGCTCTCCGTCCCCCCAGCAATGTTTCACATTCTCTGGGTGCCAGTAGATAACGGGGTGGAAGGTGTTAGACAAGCAGGCATCTTGTCAACATTCACATCAAGCGCAGCCACACCGCGGATACCAAGCAACACCCAACACCTGAAATGCAAGGACCTCAAAACGCAGGCATACATGCAAATAAAACTGCAACGACGATGAGGTGTCCGTACCGTATGGACCGTTTATTGACCTGAGTTAGTAAATCGACTGGATGTGGAAGCAGCGCATCTACCAGTCACTGCGTTGATTATGCTTAGATAATCAGTTGACTCCTCATCCTTTAGGTCGTGGCCCCACGTTGCAACGCTGGTGGCTCACCAGACCCGTTTGAAGCAAATACTCGCGACCGTATGTGCTACAGCGCCCTATGCTTGACGTCGATCTAGTAGACTCCAAAAGCGCCTGTCGCTTCGTACGCGGCGCTTCTCCTCCGCGGACAAAAGGGCCTACACCAGCACCTGAATAACCGCCCTCCTGATACGCTCATGAAATTCACGCCTTTGAGTCCCAACACCTGAGATCCACATTAGTTCGTGAGAAACTCACTTTGATTAGGTTCAGTTAACGTAACTTCAGTTGTCCAACGTGTTGCTTCCCTGCACTAAGTTGTGCATATAAGAGCTGCTTCGGTATCCGCGTTGAATCCATGCCCTTATGTCCCAGCCACCACAGGTTCCGCAACAGAAGTATGCACTCCACTGCATAAATGTCACCGCGGCGCAGCACTACCGCGTCTGCAAATCTGTCGCATCAACCGATGCGCAGAATCCGCCGCAGACACTGCTGATGAAACTGTTCCAGATATCTGACGTCCTTCCGGTATATCGTCCAGGTTTCACTGCCGTATAGAAGAAAGGACAGCACCATCAACCGGTATACCTTCAAGTTCGTTCCACCGATAAGGGTGCAGTTGTCCTACACACGTTTCTCCAGTTTGCCAAATACAGCAGCCGCCTTCGATACGCGGACGCGCAGTTCGCTCGTCATCTGCAAGTCGGTAAATATTAGGCTTCCTAGCTAGCAAAATCTTGAAGTAGTTTCCAAAACGTCGTTGGCAATGTGGATTTGTGGCAGACTCACGGATGTCACTTTCATTTTAAACTGGAGATTTTGAAAATCAAACTGAACAGTTTATCTTAAGCTGGAAATCAACTATTTGTAAGCAAAGAATGAGGAGTAAGGCGATTAGACAATGTTCAGGCCACATTGCAGTCATGCTAATGCAATCCGAACTGTGCAAAAAGCGAGCGTTAGTGCCCGCTCTACTCTTAATCATATGTGTCGTTCGCCTTGATCGATGCCGGTCACTCTGTTTTTCCTTCAATGCCTATCGGCATTTGCATATTGTATGCGTATGAAGCTATGCAGCTGCGAGACTATTGGAACAGTGTAGGCGGCTGTGACTCCATCAAATTATGTCCAGCTTTATTTGCCTACTGCTGCACGAAACGACCAAAACAAGCAACGAAAGATGAAAAGGAGCGTCTCAGAGGCTGCGACGGTGTAAGCGGTTGCCATAGCCACAGAAACAGATCATTACCAAGCTTGTGCTCATCAACGGCAAAACCACCCACGAAGCCGCTGAAATCACCGATATCGAGAGCACGGCAAGAAAAATCATAAATGCCTACATGCGTGAAGGTACAACTACTCAGTGCAACTGTGGAGAACCTGTCGACACAACGCGACGATCTTACAGGTTAGATTAAGTATAGCTTTGATCAGACAAAATGGGAACATCGCATTTCCACGATCTCGTCCCAGGACAGAAGAAAATGACTACCGAACGTGGTGACAGGGATAGTAGTGCCTTCTAAATGTTTTATCACTAAATCCATCACATCCGACAACCGAGGAATGGTAGATAAGGGAAGAGCATAGGGGATTAACGAGACCGTTGTACTCCGGTGTGTGTGTGTGTGTATGTGTATGTGCAGCGTCGGGGATGTTGGAAACCTTTAACAACGGAATGTTCGATAGGGAAAGAGCGCCATGTGTGCCAGAAGCAGCACACATAATGGAGGCAGGTGGGTGGGCTGGAAAGTTGACTGAGTGAAAATCAAAGGTGATAGCCTCAATAACAGCAATATGTTCATATATATATATATATATATATATATATATATATATATATATATATATATAGTGATCAACAGCATGAAATACATAAACGCACGGATACAAAACCGAGAGATACATAGCATCCCTTTGTTGTGTCGTTCAGGGTTAGCAGACAACAACAGCAACACATCAGTATCGTGTAATGGTGTTGTATGGTCAGAAAATAGGCGAAATAATTATGGTGATGAGGAATGTGTGGGAGAAGTGAAAAGGAAGTTGGCGCATGAAGAAAAGCGGATAAAATCGCAGCTAAAGTAGATGAGACAGTGTCAATTGAAACATATCATCGTTGCTCCCTGAAGCCGTGTCTCCGACAAAGGCCAACACTTGGTAACCGCGTAATCCTCGACTACTTAAGAGCAGGAGTAGTCTCCGGAACTTAAAAATGGTCATTGTACGATGGATACTTGGAGCTAATGAAGTGCGTATCCGGTATAACCGTCAGGCAGAGATGGGAATAAAGTCGGTTGCCGAGAAATCGAGCTACTAAGAAAGCATGGCAAACAATTTAAACCACTCCATTGTGAGCTATCAGAAATATACTGAAAAAGAATTCCCTTTAAACTTCCGAACAGAAAAAGCAGAAGATGTAAACTGTGAGATGACTAAGTCATTTCGTGCAAACACGTCAATCAGAATCAGGTTAGTTTACCGAAAAGCGAAATGCAAAGGTTAGTATTTGCATTTTAGGAGTTTGTCCCCGATAAAACACAAACGCTCGCTCGTCCGGACGCTGTTTCCTCGAGCCCACATGATTTGTACCCAGGATACATTAAAACTTCAGTAAGAATTGCTGTTCGAGACACTACAATCGTACGTGTTACAAAGCGCATTAGCGACATAGCCGAGTGAGATTGTGTTTCGACAGTTCAAAAGCCGGTCTTAATGGAACTGTCATTCAAAAGTGATCATATTATGAAAATCACCGCGAAACGTATAGGTGCTTTAGCGAAAAAGGCGTATAATGAGGCTGAAATACGTTCGCTCACGTCAATAACATATCTGGTTATGTGTTCCATCAAGACCCCGACAACGACGCAGTGCATGTCCCAGTGGTTAAACAAATGTACCTGTAGCTGCGAAGACAGCAATATCGGGCGCAGTGACCGAAGTTTAGGTGTCAGGATCAATGAACACATTCCTAAATAATCACGAAGCCGGATGCGATCGCTGACGGCGGAATCGGATGAACTGAGTAAGTAAACTGCCTCGCAATCATGAGGCACTTCCTGAGCATTGGCCACCTAGTCAGTCACCGTCCTGATGCGTGATCAGGGGCCGCACATTCTGGCTATTGGAGGCCATTGTCATCGATCGAAAACGGCCACACCTACTCATGCAGAAACAGCCGACTGAATTCGAAACCACCGTGGTAGCGCGGCGCGCGACGATTGCTTACCTATTGACTGTGTTTTGTATATTTTTTGCACGAAATGACTGAGTCACTCCGCCGTTTACATTTTTATTTAGAGATATGTTGGGCAGTGGCAGGCAATAAAACAATAACTAATTAAAAAAGTTCGACGAAATATCAAGCTCTACGACCTGGGAACAATGATGCGTACGTTTTGGTAACGGTTAGGTGGCGCATGAGATGATAAACAGGTGGGTGTACTTGTGCCTACAGCCCGATGAACCCTCAAAGGTGGCGAAAGGTCATGCAAAGGCATCAAGATAAAAGCAATTTATACAGGACGCATTTTGTATCAAAAAATTGCACCAATTATTGAGGTGTAGAATTGAGACGTAAATCCAAGCGGAAGGCGGCAGATGAACACACGCCTCACTGAGAAGCGTGTGGGTCAGGCAGGCAGTGAATAATGCCACAGTGTGGTCCTACATGCTGCTTACTTTGCCATCCCCGAATCGGAACACACAAGGAGTCCAGGCAGCAAACTGAACAAATTTCGCTATACTAAATAACCAAAACGGATGGTTTCATGACTTAAGTTATCGAAAAGATTCATCCCAGGTAATTTTAACTTGAATGTTCAAAACGTCCAAGTAAGCGTACAAAATAGACACTACTAGCTGGTGCAAGAAAACAGGCGTAAATGAAGGTAAAAAAAGAGTGAGGAGACATTCTGTGGTGAGGATAACGAAGACGGTGTAAAGAGTTGGCAAACCTTTCTCCTCCATTGGGCGGATGTTTATAGCAGGGTTGATGGTGCGAGCAGCAAGTGCGGCAATTTGGGCCTTAGGACGACCAATATGCTCGGAGTGAAAAAGAAATTGCCGATTGAGATTAGACTTCTCGATGTGATCTGGGTCAGTGATGGTAATGCACGGTTGGAAAACTGCATGATCTGGTTTCATCTCGGCAGATTTGGGTTGCACTTGACCAGGACGCTGGTGCTCATACGGTGAGGATGCGGTTGTTGTTGTTGTTGTTGCCAAGTCGTCCAATTCAGAGGTGTCACCAGTGGCAGACTGTGGGTGCGAGAGAGAGCCGCGTTACAAATGAGTAGGCGGTCACTCGGAAAGAGGACGCTCTAAATGCATACTTCAATAACTGAGTCGTGTGTGTAATGACCTTGCGCACGAGGAGAGATGTCAGTTGCGATTGAATTACACAGATGCGGCAGACGATGAAGAGGGTTAACGTGGAAGCTGGGGTAAGCACACACACACACGAAAGGGAGGTGGAGGTGAGATGAATCCATGGTCAAGCCGATGAAACACAACAAATAAAAATATTCGCATGCGACAACGAGCTAGGACGATATATTATGCGTAATAAAGAATTGGAAAGAGGAGACCCTGGACTGCTCACGAAACAGTAAATTAGTCAAGAAACTACAGAAGCAGCCCGATGTGTGATACAGGAAAGCAAAAACGGTGATACCTGAAAAAGCAGACGCAGGTATAACAATTAGTTAGAATGCATACGGATCATTGATATCTGATGGAGCACAAAGTTTGCAAGCGATGAAAAGAAAATAATAAGGTTCACACGAAATTGTGGACCACAAGTGAAACGTCTCTTGGAGGTCCAAGATCCACAGCCAATACGTAAACTGAAGGGGACAACCGATTGATGACAGAAGGAACCTCAGAGGAAAATCAGGCGGTAATGAGCGTGGAGATGACAGTGATGGAGAAAAACGGCAAAGTAACTAAGCTCGGTGCTGGGTAATATGGAAGACCGCCTTTTCACAAAATGAATAACCAGACGATTGTAAAAAAACGAAGGTGAACATTGCGGTGCAGCCCCTCTAGAAACAAGTCCAAGCCTGAATTGAGATCGGAAATCGGTTGTTACGTACAAAGTGACATGCTCCACAGTGTATAAAACAGTCCTGGTTCGATCAATAAACCATTATCGCACCCGTGGCTCACATAATCTGCAGTCACCAGTAGACGCAAGGCGAAACTGTGTGATGTCCAGAAGAAAGCTCGCGAAGTTTGGTGGTCTCACGGTGCACAGGAGGTGGAAATGGCCGGTGTCGTTCATAACCACCGTAAATTATTCCAGCTGACTTAGGGAAGAGTCAGAAGATGTGGTATCAGCAAGACTATGTGCGACGGGAGTGGACAATCTATTCCCAGCTTATAAAAACGCTTGGAGCGTTAGGCCGAACACTATGGAAAACAGCTTAATCAATCCGAGATACCCGTTTCTACATTGGCCAATGACAGCCCTTCTCCCAAAGCCGTCCTATTGGGTTCACGTCCACGCGCAGAAGTCGAACGTGAGATCGGATAATTGAAATCGAATAAGGCCGTAGAAGCAGCTGATCGTCAATCAGCCCTATACAAATCCGGGGGACCCGCTCTTGTAGATTATCTACACAACTTACTAGTGAAGCTATATGACCAAAAGACTGTCCCAACGGACTGGAGCCGCTCCGTAATGGTCCTAATTTTCACAAGAAGCTTAGGTTCCGCATGTGGATATCATAGAGGGATCAGTCTGATCTTAATTGCATTTGTCCTCCTCCATAGACACACTGGCACCGGTGAAAGCCATATGCATGAGCAGCAAGCCGCTCCGTCGAAATCGAGGTCGCATTGACCACATGTGCACTTCATTCCCATTGTTGGAGCACCGTCATATTTATCCGCGAACCACTGTGATCGTGTTCCTCGACATCAAAAGTGTCTTTGATTCGGTGGATCAATTTGCCCTTTAAGATTGTCTGCTCAGGAAGTGTATCAAAAAATACGTAAACATTATGGCGCTTTACGCGGTTAGGTTGGGCGGAGTGAGGGCCCACGACAAGATGATGTTGTCCTCCAGTGGCGTGAGACAAAGATGCCCGCTGTCACCTTCCCTTTTTAATTTCGCCACCGACGAAGTCATGGAGACTGCGTTCACTGGACACGACCTGCAGGGCATGGAAAAGCTCCCAGGTCATAATAATAATCGTCAAATGTGCACCGTAACGGCGCTTTGCTGCCGCGCGACCACCACATCGTGCGTGGGTAGAGTATATCGCGAGGACGTCCGCCTCTACGCGGATTCGAACCGGTGAGTTATGGTTGTAAGCCGACGATATTGCCGTAATCTGTGACAGGTCTCAAACTTTGTGACAAGCTGCACTGCATAAATCAGCTCCGGCTATCAGTCGTTTCGAGCTATACTTTGCAGTCACAAAATGTAAAGTTCTCCAAGATTGGCAGGGACATTCCCCTGCGCTGACCCTTGGTGGTGATCAGCTAAAGCCGCCGAGAAATTCCATTATCTAAAAAGCTAAATCAGCACCAGTGGAATGAAAGATGAGGTCACAAACCGCACAGCAAAATCACGAAGTTTTTTCCAATCTCTGACACCTGTGGCACCGACGCGATATCACTCTCGCTCTGAAAGCCACAGTGTACAAGGCAGTCGTTCGTTCAACTCTACTGTACGGTTGCGAAACCTGGCCCATCAAATCGACAGACATAAAGGGCTTGTTATGTTCGATGACCGCTGTCTTTGCGGCTTGGCTCATGTCTGATGGATGCACCGCGTGAGCAATGAGCGCGTTCGGCGTAGCGTATTTGGTCCAGGGAAGAGCGAGTGAAAGGTCCAGCATCGTTAGATCACGCACCAGACGCCGATGGCTGGGATACGTGATGCGCACGCCAGCCAAATGGGTTCACGCAAACAGCGTTGCTCGCGCGCCGGCGCTATGGATAGAAAAGAGGTGGACAGACCAAACAATAACTTAGTCGAGAGGAATGAAGGTCCTCACTTTGAAAGTGGCCTCGGCTGGTGTCTCCCGACTGAGGGTTAGAGTCCCAACCACGATGAACACGTCTGGTTGAATACATTAGTTGACATGGCAAGGGGCCGAACTCAATGGCTTTTGTGTTGCAGGTTTTTTGGCCTCTCTCCATCTCGCTTATCATCTACGCTCTAAACACAATCTCGGTCTTGAAGCACATTGTGTCACTAAGCAGTTTGTTACATGTTTTTGGTATTGCCACTCTTTTTCGTATGTTTATATATTCGTATTGCGGGACCATAGTTGTAGTGTGTTTCTCACCTTCAGCTAATGTGTAGTGATGATCTGCATTGGCGGTGACAGACGTGTGACTGTGAAGAGCGATTCAGGCATTTCAAAAGAGAGAATCACCTATAAAAGTCTGCGACACCCTAGGTGATGAAAGGAGAGCTCAGTTGGCCTTAAAGGCTTTAGATACTGGATAACAGTGAGAGTCCATAAACTACGCGAGACAGGAACTGGTTCCATAAGTCAGAGGATTTCAAACGTCTTAGGGTGCTTGATAACCTTTGGCTCTCAGCTAGCACCTTTGTCCCCAAAACGATGACGGAAACAAGTAACTGCTCACGAGTGATGAGCAGTTTAGTCCGTTAACGTCACACATGATAACTGAGCTGGGTCGTGCACGTTCTCTGTATGGTAGATCATCATTCACGGAGAGCAGTGCTCTCCTACCAGTCGGATGCTTGGTGGCGTAGAACTGGAGGTGGACAAACAGTGACATGGCTCCGAGAGCTAAAGCCTTTGGTCATTATGCTGGGTGCGGTCGATTGGTTCTGCTCTCCAGGTCGAGATTCACGTGACCCACTTTATTGCTGAGTTGAGACACCACAGGACATGGCGTGCAACCGACACAACTGGTGCGTTTAATGTTGTCTCATAGCCGGGATGCGAGTTGGATGCATGCGTCGTACTGAGCTGGACATGCAGCAAGATCGAGTATGTAACGATGCAGAGGGAAGCAAAAGTAAAAAGAGCCAACCGGTTACGAATGCATGCATAAAAGGCCTCGGCGCTGAGAAATGCGCTTTTTACACTTTAACTGTTTAACAGTATGACTATAAATTTTAATTTGTATTTCACTGTCCACGAAGCAATGGAACAAAATATAAAGATGATGCGGTAAAATATACTGCATGATTGACGGCATCCGGTCCCAGATTTGCCCGTCACTGCCGCCTCCATAGGACCTCTGTGCCTGCAGAGTGACCATTGATGGTTTACGCTACATCACCCATAGTTCCATCCACACACCTCATATCCAGCACAAACACAAAGGAATAGTACAAGAAGGTATGTGGATAGGAGCCACGTTTCATCAACGGACCCGGTCCACACAAGTTTAATGTGCACAACTGCAGCATTCCTGTTCAACTATATGAGGAATCGTGCGTACCAGGCGTCCACAAGGCGGTGGATGGGCGGTAGCCACGAGGACCTTGCATCCCGTCCACTGGAACCAGTAATATATATATATATATATATATATATATATATATGGCCCTCGGGGGTTCCGAGTTTTATACCACAGCAGTAGTTGATGACCGTAAGAAGTTATAATTAGGGCTTCTTCTGGTGGAGTAAGGAGATTAGCACCACTTGGCGTATGACGACGAAGTATGTACAATGGGACAAAAAACAAAAGTCTGCAGGTCAATAGCCTATTAAGAAGGGGTAGACGGTGGTAAGTGTAAAGTGATTAAAAAGCAAACGACAGTGATCTGTCCAGTCTGCATAACTTACCGGGGTACTGGCCATTTTCGACGCATTCCTCAGGTGCGAAGAGGCTTGACGAAAAAAGAATAACAATAAGAAGGAGTTAGAAACCCGGGATGATGTCAGCAGTACGCCGGCACACTGTACCGACGCTTCGTTGCAAACCGACCACCACTAGCCGCGCATGGGCTGAGTACACCGTGAGGTCAATCGTACATACACAGATTCGAACCGGTGGTCGCCTGCCAACTAGGGACGGGGAGAAGTTGAGTACAGTGGGAAGAAAACAATCCAACTTTGGTGCACAAGCTCAGCAAGCATGGTCCTGGTCGGGAAAATCTAGTCTCAGGGTATCCTGGAAAATACCTATCATTAGAAGAAAATCAAGCGCAATCAAGGGATGGTAACAACAATAACAACAGGACGGAACAAGCGTATGCGAGATAAGGATAACCGAACAAGATTCACGAATTTAGTGGGTTCACTGCGTTGAAAACTGAGAAAGTAAACGTGCCATCCTATTAGAAACCATGCGGTGGGTGTAAGCATAGATGTCCGATACCTTAGTTTGTTTGCGGAGATAGTTACTTCCTCAGTAGTAAAGTCCCTCCTGTTTTTGGTGAGCTTCAGTAGTCAACTACAAAGTCTGTACTCAGTATCAAGTGCATTACTCCTGTTATGGTCGATCAACAAAGTGTTGCATTTCATCCCATAGGTGAATGCCGGAATCCTATAAGACTTGGGGCCTCTGGTTTGTAGTAACAGCCCCGTTGCCTCCATTCTGACACAATGTTGTGATAATCAACATACGAGAACCCACTAGTTCAATGCTTCAATCTTGGAAAGATGGTTTTTATTTTTCCGGAACAGTCCTTACCGCACTTAATCTCTTATTCTACTCCGTATCGCGTACGAGCGTATCGTACAAATTCATCTATCGAGAATGACTGCAATGTTGGAAGTGCGGAGCTAATGACGGTATTGCTTGATAGGAGGTTCACCGATTAATCCAATTCTCCTTACTTTCCTCAACTTGTACGTATGGTAGACGACCGCCTCTCCACCTGCGTTCCGTCAATGCAGCGAATGTTGATTTGCCCCGTGCAGAACACTGTCTGCTGTGTGTGCTCGTAAAACTCACCCCCCCAAAACAAAATAATTCTCATCTGTTCCGCTTAACTGAACCTACTTTATATGACAGCTGAAGCAAAATCTATACAAGCAAGTTGACCTTGTGGACAGTCTTTTTTGTCTTGGTAGGGTGCATGATTTTCCTTATAGTCACAGTGCCACAGCTAACTAGTAACTCCTGGTATTAATCACTTGTCACCCACATTCATTTGGAGTTTTCACTAATAGTAGGTTAGCGACCGAGGATACACGAAATAAGCCGTATTCTGGTTGTGCCGCTGAACGGTTCGCATTTCTTGCACCACTGAACATTCGAAGCCAATGACTGTCACATGTAAAACCCAAAGGTCTACTCAGAGTAAAGGAAACCACACACACACTCACACCCCTGTCGTCATCTCACCATTGAAAGACGATGGAGTATGTCCTCTTAGTTTTTAATTAAACTGTGTTTGGTACATACGCTGGGGCTACGGGCCCCCATAGAGCGTACACTCTCGGACGTTTACTTACTGTGACGAAGACGTATCGTATGGCGACGGAGATAACAGTGTCTATAGTGAATGCACCCACACAGTTCTGGCCATGTTTTGCAGAGAAATTGTTTATGGACAGTTGGAGTAGATTGTGAAAAATCTTTTCTGACTACATGGAATTAGTACAAATCTTGAATTAGCGAGCGCCTCTCACTGAGCCCCAATATCAAACTATTACGCCAGTTCTTTGGTAACAATATCCAGCGACACTTCGACGCCCTCCGTATTGACAAGGTCTGTGCAACCACAATCAGTGTTTGGATGTGTACAGTGCTCTCTGAAGTAAGCAACGTAACGTGTTTAGGGCCGGGTAATATTTCCAAACCATGTCAGACCGCGGAAGAAAATGTAGACGAGCTCATCGCTCGCATACACCAGACTATCCATGATTGCACATAAAGAATTGATCCGTCTAAATACGAGGAAATAATAAGATTTCACGACATACTGAGCAGCACTGGAGCTTGCTGGCAGCTTGGGACCGTTCGCGACCATATTACGTGGAATGTGCTCTGAAATCCTGGTTGCCAACCTCTCTGTTCAGCTCAGGTAGTTGCTATCACAAGTACAATAAACGAGGTAAACACACGAGGCGGTAAATAGAGGGTCTGATTTGTCAAGGTTGGATTTACATAGCGACATCCTTACTTGGTGTAATAGCAAAAGTTCGGCCGCACAATAACACTTAATCATCTGGGAGAGACGGTGCCGGAATCTGCTATCATTTCGGTCCCCTTTAAACGGCAGTGTAAGAAACATCAGATGATAAAGAAGTGTTATTATGCGGCCGAATTTGTGCTATTGCACCAAGTAAGGATTTTGCTATGTAAATCCAACCTTGACAAACCAGACCTTCTAGTTCATTGTACTTATAGTAGTAAATAGGTAAGCCGAACAGAGTTAAGGTTGTCAACCAGGATTTCAGACCACATTCTACGTAATGTGGTCGCGAACGTTCCCAAGCTACCAGCAAGCTCCAGTGCCCAATAATACTTCAATTCCTGGTAGCTGACACATCAGACCAGAATATCGGCAACAACTCCTTTGATAGGATAACAATGCAATTAATTGGGAGATGGCTTGTTCGACTGCCCATCAAAAATAGATGCTGACGCAACTGTCTCCATTCACTCAACAACCCCATCCGGCTGTACAGGCCCTCGCCTCCTCACCAATGTTAGTTCATTATAATCCTAGGATGCCCCTCGTTCTCCAATGTGACATGTCCTTGGGGCTTGATAACCGAACAACTCCCTCGTGGTGTCAGCTGCGCATGGTTAGGCGGCAGTGTTCCAGGGTGCTATGGGTCAGAAAATTTGACAGGAACCGCTTCTCAAAACGACATAAAGCACCAGGCCCTGATGGTTTACGTCCAGATCTGTTTAGAGATGGCGGCTATTCGCTGGTTCGAGAACCCACCGCTTTGTTCTCAGGAGTCCGGTAAAAAGAGGAAGTTCCATCGTCTTGGGTTGAGTCGATAGTTGTGCCCATCTACAAAAAGGGCCTGCGAACAATGAGCTCCCATAACTTGGGAGTAAGTTTGGTTCCCGTCGTCTGCAAGCTTCTGGCGTCCACCATACTTCGCAGGCTATCCATAGCGCGCGAATCGCTACAACGGTAAGAAGATGCTGGGTCTCGCCCTGGTCGCGGCTGCATCGAACAAATGTTTATACTCCACCATGTGTCTTTAAAAACCAAAGGCTGTTGTGGTTCTGGATATCCATACAATCTTTGATTTTGCCGACATGATTACATTGTGGTACTGTCAGTTGAGTAATGGCGTCCCCGGCGTGTTCGTTTCCGTACTGTGTACTATGTATAGTCTGATCTCACATACAGTTAGGGCTTATGGCAAGCTTTCGCATTTCTCCGTACTCAACAGTGGGGTTTCACAAGGATGCCCTATCTACCCATTCCACCTCAATTTTGCTATTGAATAAGATATCAAAAATGCTCTGGAAGATATGTTGGACACTGGCGCTGAGCTCTCCCAGGTACTCTAGTTGTTCATTTGGACTACGCTGATGATATCGTCTTTCTGGGTGACGGTCCAAAGGCCGTCCAACGTTCACTTAACCGCTTGGCGATTGACGCGTCAAAGTATGGTATACACTTTTCACCATCCCAGTGCCAAGCTCTTTTTCAAGACTTGATGACGCCCGTGCGTGCATTTACTCTTGGACGTGTGACACTGGTTGTGGAAAATTTTGTCTATGTGGGAGACTGCATCAGTTTGGGGGCGATGTTGGAGACGAGAATTCGATGCACATCTCAAGAGTTCGTCTCGTCTTCTCCAGGCTGAAGCACTTGTGGCGCCGCCATAACATCCGTCTCTCCACCAAAGGGTGGGTTTATTGCGCAACTGTCTGCGCTGTACTGTTAACAGACTTGGCCTGTTCGTACTGTTGACCTGCGCCGACTGTTGGTCTTCGAGCGCCATTACTTGCTGTCCCTTGCCCGCGTGTGGTGGCTGCACCATGTAACTAATGTGGATGTGCCTTGGGACGAAGCAGTCACTCGCTCGAGGAGCTCGTCTCACTGCACCAACTACGGTTGCTCATTCACGTATGGCGTATGGCAGTTCAGTGTCTTCCACGTCGCGCGTTACTGGCGGTTGCTGCTTAGGACTTGAGGTGGCGCGGTGGACAGCCTACAACTCGGAGAAGCGGAACGAATACATAGACGGAACAATTGGCCTCAGCAGGTTGTTCTCGACTCTCCAGATGGGGTTGAGAGGTGTTGAGAGAAGCTGGTTGGAGACTCTGGAAGTCATGACACAAGACCGAAGTCGTTGGCGGACATGTATCACTGCATGTTGCGGTGATTACCTTTACTTCCCCAAGTGGAACAATCAAAAAAACCAAAAACGGTGAGGGGAAAACTGAACAAAAAAACAGCCTGTTTTTCCCTCCTTATTGCGATTCTGTTTTCCTATTTCGCCGTGGTTCTGACGACACAATATCTGGACCATGGATTGTGATCCTTATATATATATATATATATATATATATATATATATATATATATATATATATATATATATATATATATATATATATATATATATATCCCTTGGGGTGTGGGTGCTGTCCTCTGACACCACATGAATGAACAAACTTTGCGTTCTATAGTGTCAGCTTTCCACACTCTGTACCAACGGATAGAAACTATTCGCAGCTGGACAAAAGGTTCCTATCATAAATCTTTGGTAATAAAAATTTCATAAGTACCACTGAGGGAATTTCTCGAACTTCTCGTAGATCACAAGCCATTGATATCGTTAGAAGAAACAGAAGATATTCAATAAAAGTCATCACCAAAAATGCAGTGATGGGCTGTGAGCTTGAGTGCGTCCAACTACAAAATAACCTACAGTCCCGGCACCAGTTGCATGAATCTGCTCA